ATATATAGTAAATATTATTTCTTCTTGATTATATTTCCTTTATTAATATTACTTTTATTAATAGCTTATTAAAAATATTTACAGGTGTTGTAAATATTAGTAATTTACGCTATAGTAGCGATGCAAGCAATAAAAAATCTGAAAAGCCAAGAGGCACCACTATCAAGCCAGAAGAATGTGTGCCTGAATCTAGATATTCCAAGCCACAGAAAGATGTTCCTGCCTGTGAAGCAGGATCTTGCCCAAGAATAGAAGAATGCAAGTTGAATGGAGAGCAAAAACAGTCAAGCAAGAAAGGTTCAGACTTTGGCAAAAATGAAAAATATCCAATTCGCTATTGGCATCTACTTGCTGCCTTGCTTGTAACAGGAGTTGCAGCATACAAGGTAGCATATCATAAAAAATTTTAAACTAATATTGCTTAATCCTTTTTACTATATAACTTTTTAAAATATATTTTTAATATTTTTTTTTATCTATTTTTAATAGATATTTTCATCACCTTGGTGGAAAAGTGAAGAAGTAAGTCAACGAAAAGGTAAAAATAAACGTAAGTTAAACTAAGAATTATTTTAATATAATACAAATGTAAGAATTGTGTTATCTATGTATATGTCATTTATGCTTTCACACAGAAAAGAAAGAAGGAAGAAGGAGATTTAGAGAGAAAATAAAAGTTCCAGCAGAATCCAAATTGATACCTCAGGAAGTATCTTATCTATTGATAGGTGGAGGAACAGCTGCATTTTCAGCATTTAGATCAATTAAATCTAGAGATCCCAAAGCTAAGGTATATTAGACAGTATAGATTTGAATACCTTTTTCTTTTGATTTAAACAAATAAGAATTTTTGTTCAGGTTCTAGTTATAGCAGAAGAAGATGAATTTCCATACATGAGGCCACCATTATCCAAAGAACTTTGGTTCAACACAGATAAAGAAACAACTGCACAATTACGTTTTAATCAATGGAATGGAACTCAAAGAAGGTAAATTTTTTAGATTTATCCACACAATTTTTCAGTAATATTATTAATACAATTATATGATATAATTATATTTCTTATCATATTCATACAGAATTTTTACATTTATTTCATAGTATATTTTACGAACCACGGGAGTTCTATTCAAGTGTTGCTCATCTCGAATCTGATAAGGGTGGAGTTGCTGTAGCCATGGGTTGGAAAGTAACGAAAATCGATGCTATAAATAAAACTGTGATTCTTGAAGATGGTCACGAAATAAAATACAGCAAGTGTCTTATTGCAACCGGTAGGTTTTAATGTCAATTGAAAAAAAAATAAAAACAATTTTTTCTTTAAATTGGATTTTTCGTATGCAACTATATTTACAGGTGCATCGCCGAAGAATCTGCCAATATTCGAATCTATTGAAGACGAAATAAAAGACAAGATTACAACGTTTAGAACAAAGAATGATTTTCTCGATTTGGAAGAAAGTGTTTCTAATCCTAACTGCAAAAATATTGTGATCATTGGTGGCGGATTTCTCGGTTCGGAACTCGCCTGCGCGCTCGCTAGAAGTTGTACGTTTCCCATTTATTAACAGAATAATCCATATATTATAAAAAATATTTTATGGATAACAAAATATTGTTTTTTATTGTAGATAAATCTAAAAATGTTTTCCAAATTTATAAAGAGAAGTTCATAATGGCACAAATATTACCAGAATATTTGAGTGAATGGACCACTAAAAAGGCCGAAGCAGAAGATGTTCATTCTATACCTAGCACAAAAGTTGAAGATTATAGATATAAGAACGGTCGATTGTCCCTCGTTCTCACTGATGGTCAGACTGTATGTCAATAATTTAAAAATTTCACGTATTTTTAGCATGATTAATCAAGTGCCCTTATTTACCGAATTAATTTTTTTTTTTATGTAAAAAGATTGATGCTGATCAAGTGATAGTAGCGATAGGTGTTGAACCAAATACGGATTTGGCAACAACCTCGCATTTAGAAACAGAGCCTAAGATAGGAGGATTCCTTGTTAATGCTGAATTAGAAGCGAGAAGCAATCTTTGGGTTGCTGGTGACGCAGCATGTTTCTATGATATCAAACTTGGTAGAAGAAGAGTTGAGCATCATGATCATGCGGTCACTTCTGGAAGATTAGCTGGCGAAAATATGACTGGTGCAGGTAATTCTACAAATCCGAAAATAATTCTAAAATATTAAAGTGCAAAAATTAAGTATGGTAATGTAAATGGGTAACTCTTTATAGGTAAACCTTATCTGCATCAATCAATGTTTTGGTCAGACTTGGGGCCAGATGTAGGATATGAAGCAATAGGTATCGTAGACTCATCTTTGCCAACTGTAGGAGTCTTTGCAAAAGCAGCAGAAGCAAACGCGATTAACGATTCTAGTGAAGTAAGTAGTTTTAAATATGCAATAAAGTGTAATGTATATTTTATAAGGCATAACAAACTATTTTTACTGTGTGTGTGTGTGTGTTTACCTTTATATTTTGTGTTTCTTTTCAAAACAAGGAAGAAAAGACAAGTAAGGCATAACAAACTATTTTTACTGTGTGTGTGTGTGTGTGTTTACCTTTATATTTTGTGTTTCTTTTCAAAACAAGGAAGAAAAGACAAATTCTAAGGAATCACAATCTAATGTACAATTAAAGTCATCAATGACACAAATCGTGAAAAATCCAGAAAATAAAGAAAAAGATATATCTGGAGATAATGTAAACTCAGTCCAGAAACCTACAAAGCACGAAAATTTCGAGAAAGGTGTTGTTTTCTATCTACGAGATGATGTTGTAGTAGGAATAGTGCTATGGAATATCTTTAACCGAATGTCGATTGCGAGACGAGTAAGTCTGAGATTTGTTATCCTTAATCTTGTTTTTGTGTATTGTTTTGTGATAATTTATTTTAAATATTTGTTTTATCTGAATATACACATTTTATCTATATTGAAATTAATTAAAATTATAATGTAATTTTAATTAATTTCAATATAGATAAAATGTGTATATTCAGATAAAACAAATATTTAACTTGTAATAAGTAACTTGAAATAATTTTTATGATATTTTAGGTTCTTGCAGGGGACACAAAGTATGAGGATTTAAATGAAGTAGCAAAATTATTTACGATTCACGAAGATTGATTGTTTGATTAACAAGAATGAATGACAATATAGTAAGAGATTTTATTGCATGTAAAAAAATATTCGAATTCCAGTATGAGATATTATCATCACAAAACTCACGATCGACAATTTGCTGAATTTTGCAGGTATGCGAATTATGAGTGCCAGTGTTACTTTATATTGTATATGTGGAGATTTCTAAATATAGTAAATATATACACAAAACGTTCCCATACACGTACAAAGTATGTGTTTCATTAACTAATGCTAACTAAAAGTATTTATACACATGGAGAAATAAAAAAGATAATTTTATTAATTATATACAACGTTAATTGTTATTTGTTACATAGATACATCATTTTACTGATATATAATTTCCTCAACATAAAGAATCTATATAAAATATTTTCATTTGCAGGATAAAGTTTGCTGTTTTATATATATTGTTAATGTTATATGTGCATATTTTTCTCTTTCTTATTTTTTTAAGATATCAAGATGATAAGCTACATTAAATACATTTATATTTCATCTTCTGAATTTAGATTTTTAGTCATTGCCGGTAAAACTCGATTTCTGTATCGTTGCCCCAAATTATCCATGTATGAAATGTAATTATGACAACGATACTCGTCCAATATCTGTGTGTGAAGACGCATTTGGTCGTTATTTAATGATATATTAAATATAAATAATTGTTTAACTTGATATATTTCGCGTGTACGTACCATATTTTCTGGCCACATCTTTCTACTTGTAAAATCCTCCAGCAAAATATCTCGGCAATATTGCAAAAGTGATATACAATAATACACCATATAATCGGGAGGATACAAAATGCAAATTGCAAAAAAGTGAACTATTTCACTCCATGGAAGAAGTCCCCAGAAGCATTGCGATATCATTCTATTGGATATCATCCACCAGTTCACACCACAAACATCCTTATCGTTTAAAAATCAGAATATTACATGATTTTCTTTTAGATGATTAAATTTTTTAAATGTGATAAAAAGTTCAATCACCTTTAAACCGTATTTAATATTTGGAAGCTCGATATTAACCATGGCTTCTAAAACTTGCATAAAAGTGAATTGCGAACTAGTATTTTCGTTATTTTTTTCGTCAATAACTCTGCCCAATTTTGGCCAGAGGAGCAGTGTCGATGGAAATTGAATTAATTGCATGATAAATGTTTTGCACCTGTAATTAATTATTGCTAATGTACTAGTCAAGAGATATAGGCAAAGGATATTGGACAATAGAACAAAGTGGCACAGTGGTTGCCTGATATACAAGGAAACTTGGGTTAAAGTCCCAAATATATATATAGCCATAGATGTCTTGATATTTTTCCTTTACTCATATAAACACTAATTATCGCATTATATAATAATAGGTCGATGATGAAAAAGAACTATCTCGAGACGGGTCAATGATAAAAAGGGATCATTGACTCGGTGAAAATCAAGTTTTCAATCTGAGACCTGCCAATGATGATACATGACTAGCTTGAGTTAATCATTATTGACAGTAGTTTAGAAAGTAAAGTCTTGTTTGATCGATTTTAGTTTTTTGTAATTAAGACGTTACGAAGAGATTTATCCGATTGAACATAAAGATGCTACTAGACTATACCGGAAAATAAAACACTGTCAAAAGATTGATTCGCGGTCAGCTGAGGCTTCAATTTTTATTATTAATAACTCTCTTTCTTTAATGAAAAATAGATTATTTGAAGTTAACATCAAATGATGTATTACATACTTGTCTAAATCTCCATCACAAATAATGAATACTGTTGTCAAGAACCAATCGAAACCTTCGAACCTGTTCGGTTTGTTGTATTGTATAAATATATAGGCAGAATGAATGAATTGTTTCAAATTTTTCTGATTATCATCAGTGTTCTTTAAAATCTGCCGTTGTTCCGCGTAATTCAAAGCAATATTAATTGCGTGTGTATCTTCCGGGAGCCAATAGTCTGCATCATATGTTATATTCTCCTGCCATTCAAATTGTTCTACCCAATCCGCAGTTGGGATAGCTTTGTGCATTTGGTTCAATAAATTCGTCATTGTTGAATTCTAAGATAAAAATCATTTTTGATCTATTATAAATCTGGTCATATCATAATTAAATTGCATACTTCAAATTTTATTTGCATGGAATCACCTTCATCGGACATCGCGAAGCTTTATGAGCCACCCTAACTTGCGATACCCAACCAATATCTAATAATCCGGGCCTCTCATCTTGCAGCATGTCATTTAGTTCTGAATCACATTCCATAACTGAAAACTCTATCATATCTGCATATATCCTGGGAGGTGGAAATTCCGAAAAAAGTTCATATTCTTCCAATGGTACATTGTGTTGCTTTCTATTGTATATCGTATAATACGATTTCAATAAAATATTACGTCGTAAAAAACTGGAATTGTCAATTATGTATTCTTTTGTTAGCTCTGGCTTATCATTATCATCGTTCTCTATCGTAGTCTGCTCATAATCAGTTTCATCGTTTTGTTCGTTACGAACTTCAATTATTATCGTGCTCTCCTTCTGAATATTTAACAATGCTACCTAGAAATAATTATTATATACAATTATAATTATATTTTTATCGCATGTCAAATATATTACCTGAAAGTTTAACGAGTTTATTAAATAAACACAAATGTCTATATTCCAAATTACTACATTCAATGATAGAAGACCCAAATGATGGTAACGAGAATCCTCGTTTAACGCAGCCTGCAATAGTTCAGATAAATTCGAAGGATAGTCCTTTTCTTCATTGTTATCCAATTCGTTGTCATTCGTCATAAACGCGGCGAAACCTGTTCCATTAATCACATATTAAAAAAAAAATATACGGGAAATATTACAACAGTTGCTTTTGAAATATTTACAATTAAAATTGAGCGAAAATAACGTAAGTATATGTAGAAATTCGTCGACGTTTTCTTTGCCCCACGGATCGTAAAAGCATTTGGGATCTTCCGCATTCGCGCAAGTTTGTGATAGTAAAGTCGACAGGACATGGGGTCCGAGATCCGCAAGCACGTTATAGCCCAGATCGAAATAACCAGCAGACGAGATGAAGCTGACTATGTCGGTGGAGCTCCAGGTCGCTCTTAGAGGAACGATTAATCCGCGAATCAATTCCTCGAACACCAATTTCTCGTTGACGAGAGCTTGCAAGCCGAGCGGTATCGATACCATTTTTAGTAAAACCTTTTTGATAGCGCTGTAATAAAATTTTAGAAATTGAAATCAATTTATAAATTTAGAAATACAGATAAATTTTTTTCCATTACCTATCAAGTTGCTGAATTTTATTCTCGTTCTCGACGCCACATTTATTTAATTTTTTGTAAAAATTAGCAACAGCTGGATAAAATTGCGTTTCTATTTGTTCCTGCGCGGCTTCGTAAGCGTCATAAATAACGCCGAATAATTTCTCTAACAAGCTAAATGAGTTAAGGACACATTCTGTATCCATTATGGAAAATGGTTGTTTTAATAAATTCGACGCATACTGTACTACGACCGCAACTGGGCATTTTAATGATGCGTTTTCAGAATTTGTTGCAGAATGCTTCTTACAATGCGAGGTCAAAAATACCGATCCATCGACCGTATCTACCATGTGAGAAATAATGTTCAATATGTGTGGCCAAATTTTTATATCGTTTTCAGGAAGAGACATCAAATGGCATAACGCGATATGATAAAATTCAGCATTGTATAATATTTCTGATACATTGAGTACGTTTTGCAGAGCACTACAAGAAGTATTGTATACTCCGCTCGATGCTTCTGTTGCTAACTTATTTAGGGAATTCAATAATTCTATTAGGAAATCAGCGATGTCCAATGGCGTTTTCAACGAATTTTCCGTGAACAATGTTCTACTCGCCTTGTAGCTACAAAGCTGCGAAATGAAAACCAAACAATGCAGATAGGTTGTAATTTCTATCGTATTCCCGGAAATACACAGCTCGTTGCCCTCATCCCCGATAGATGCTGACAGGAAACAAGGTATTTCTTTCAGACCGTTCATGACGCATTCGACAACGTTCTGCAGAAACGTCGGAGACTTGGCCAAAGCGGCGACGAAAATTTTTCTTGTAGAAAAGCTATGTAGCCATCTCTTGCTCCATTTGGCCTGAGGCTCCAACACCGAGATAATGTTTAACATGTTTAAGGTTTTAGGTTGCAATTTATTGCCAAAACTATGCGTACTGAGAAATACTATAAATTGTTCAATGATTTCTTCTATAGTCTTGTCGCTATGCCTAGTGTTCTTCAACATCTGTTTTTGACATTGAATTATCAGATACATTATATAGAACAGTTTCTCGTGTAGGAAGAATTTGAAATTAATTCCAGAGATTAGAGTAGGCAGAGTCTCGCGCATCTTCTGCGAATGATATTGCGCATTGAACGCGCCTAATAAATTGCCATATATGCTATGTAATTGTGGGAAATTGAGTAACTTCGCATGTATCTGCAAGCTAGCTTCGAATATGGCTCTGCTATCGTCCGTGAGACCGTCCAGCAACGTTTTTTGAAGAATGTCCCATTGCGAACTGTTATTTATATTGGACAATTCAATCTTTAATAAAATTTCGTAGCCGGCCAGTCTCACGTGAACTGGTTTATCGCGACTGATCCTATCGATAATACAACTATATTCTTCACCGTTTCCTTGCGGGGAGGCCCAATCGTCCGCTGTGAGATCGCTGGTAAAGGAAAGTGATGATTGCGATCGCGATGCCGCGGATGAAGGTTTTATTACTATATATTGCTCGGCAATTGCCTTCTTCATAGAACTCAATAAAGTGGCCATGTCTTTCGAACGCGTGAGCTTGTAAACGATATCGTTCGGCTCCTGTTCCTTATCTATAGCGCTTTGTATGGTTTTTCCAAACTCCTTCTTTAAGCATTTCCTTAGCCATTTATGAAGATCCGGTGGTACATTCTTTTCCATATTTATTTAACTAAACACTAATATTACTCAAGTAAAATTAAGCAAGTGCAAGGAAACGTGCACGTGTCTAAGTTTCCATAGTTTTGACATTTGTTGCCATAGTAACCAGACATACTTTACAGCACATGAAAGACATATATACACTACGAGATATACAATGAACCGTTTTATAACAAAAGTATACAGCTCTTGTACATACATACATGTTTTACAGGGCAATATAATATCAATTATATTTTATCGAATAAATCTGAGTATTTTATATACATTAATGTAATTACGTAATTCAATTAGCGTGCAGGTACTATGATATTCGCAGATTTGGATCGTAATCCGTTAATTCCGCCTTGCAGAGAGCAAACTCCCACGACATTGCATTTTACTAGAAAATCTGCAAACTGTTGCAGAGAATATATGTTGCAGTAAATTTCTTTTCATAATTCTCTCTTATATGATTACTTACCAGCGCATTATTTTGATCGTGCGGTCCAATAATTACAACAACACTATTTTTATTATCCATCAACGGTTTTGCATGTGGTCCGAGTGTTTCGATATGAGTTTGAGACAACTGCACACTCGTGAATGGAATATTAATGCTACCCAGAATAGCGCCTCTTTCAAATCTGTTAAAAATTATCAGTTTGAAAAATAAAAATCTTTAAGTAATAGAATTGTTATTAGTTCGTAAAAATACTCACTGTATATTGCTACGTATATCGACCGCTATAATTTTGCTGGGCGAGTTGTTGTAGAGATTTAAAAAATCCTCTACATTTATTCTCGGCATTTTTTCAGTTCCCATTTCTGGTTCAATCCAGTTTGCATCCTGTAAATCAATCAGAGTCTTATAATATGTAGAAAATTAAAATATATTGGTGATATTGTTATTGTACCTTTGTTGTATTATATTGGTGTTTTCTATATGTGATGCTAGCAGGTGTGTTTTGGTACATCGTCATGGAATCTTTAACGCACAGTTCTATATCAATCTCGGGCAAATCGGAAAACAGGAGAATGCACTCATTGAAACCAGACATTAATAAGGAGTCTCTCAATTGCTTCAATATCGCTAATCCAACTAAAAGAGGAAATGACGAGTCGCCCAGCAATAGTTTATCCCACAGATGTAATATCTTATGCAGTGGAAATACATCTAAAATATTAATAATCTTTAGCATCGACGATTAATAATACAAAAGGATAGTATAAACAGTGAAACTTACGTGAAAACATTGTTAGGAACCAGGGTATCGCAAAGAGTTCTGGTACAAAGTTTATGGATTTTAGATGATTCGCTAATTGAGGATCGTGAAATGCAATGATTTGAGAAAATTTGCCCAGGTATTCCTGTATCACTGCCGAGTTGTCTTTTAAGAAGAACTTGTGAAGATATTTCGGTATAAAAGCGGAGAGACATGCGAATGCTCGGGCTAAAATATAAATGGCGCGATAAATTAAGGAATCATAATTACGCGAATCGGATAATCATACCTTCGTTATTAAAATTTAAATAAAGAAAAGGCGCTGTCAACGAATCGAGCCCTTGCCAATAAACGTAATGCGGATTATTCCTGACCCACGCCTTTAGTAATCTCTGCAATCGTTCGTGCCCAGCACCAGACGACAGTAATTCGCTATACTGATGACATCTCGGTATATCCACCTCTATCTGACAAATTATCAATGAGATGCATTTATATACCGAGTATAATTTTTTTAATATAGCAGTCGTACCTGCCGATCAGTATGAGTGGGTGTCTCCTTGTCGATCATATCGTAACGTTTCTTTATGTTGCCAGTGACACCGAGCAAAGCCGCCCATACCGCACCCCTTACTGGAGGTGGTATATCCTTGTGTGCTTCCTCGATAATTGCCTCCTGAGTAAGCGGATATACCTGTAAGAGTCTGTCAAACAGGACTAGCCTGTAAAACTGATATTCCGTGTCGCGTTCTCTTATAATTAACGGCAACTGGGACGCAGCATTCGTTAAGTCTTCCTGCGCCTGAACCCGCATTCTGCAATACAATATATTTATAATAATTCTACAATATCGAAATAAGTACAAGATTGAATGAAAATGAATGTATATACTGACTGATTTGTCAACCAAGGATAATTTGCTATGTATGGAATATGAGCTAAACGCTGACGAAGAGTCTCCATAGGAACTTTCACGATTCTTACATCGAGTAGGCTAGCAGTATCCCTTTGTCCAAACATTTGGCCCAGTAATATGACCAAGCTAAAAACAAGTTTAATATTACTTAAAATCCTATTAAATTTTATTTCACTATATATATATAATTATTATTATCTAAACAAATACATATCTAATAATTACTTCGGGATAGATAAAATGGGTGGCCTTGATCTAATGAGACCCTGCTTTTTTAAATCCACAGTAATATCTCCACCAGCCAACTGCCATAAATAATACAACTCATCCATTTTTCTAACAATAACATTTTTATAAAGATTTTCTTCCTTCTCTTGTGCATTTCTTATTAAATATTCTGTGAATATGGGTAATTCCAATAATTCTTCTGGAGTTTTACGTTTAACAGGATGAATTTGTAGACATGAATCTACAAATTCCTTTAACTCTTTTGATAGTTTCTGCATGATATAAAGAAATATATAATATTAGACTGTAATTATACTATTATTGTACTATTAGAAAATGGATTCATACTTCATAAGTGTTGAAACAATTATTTTCCCTGGCAAGACGTTCGAATATACTGGTATCACATAATATTAAGCTCAGAACTTTCCTTAAACACTGAGACAATTTCACACCGGACCAAATAGATTGTCCCAATAACTGTTCCGCTATAATCATTCCCAGCGACCATGAATCTACCTTAACACCACTTGGACTAGGATTTAAGAATACTTCTGGTGCCGTATACTTTGGAGAACTAATAAAAAGAATATTATTTTAAATTTTGTCAAGCATTTAAATGTATTAAGTTATATTGATGAAAAAGAATATTTTAAAGTACCCAATCGGAAAGGATACATTCTTTCCACCATCTGTCATATAATATAATCCATAATTGTATAGCTGTACATCATCATTTTTCTTAATCAGAATATTATCTGGACTTAAATGTCTATGTATCAGATCTAGTTTATTCATATGTTTTAATGCCAAAAGACATTGAAAGGATATCTTGATAATCTCTTCTGTACTTAGATCATGTTTGATGCTTAATGGATCTCCGCTGTATTCTGCGACAACCACTATTCTCTCTACAAATGCATAAACAAGATGATTATAAATACAGTATGCGCACAAATAGATTTATAAAATTATATTATTAAAACTAACCATGCTTGCTTCTAATTATATCGAGATAAGGGGAGAGATGAGGATGATAAATGGTCTTTAAAAACTGTGATTTCCCATAAATAGTTATGGAATTTGGCGTGAGTGGCAGACCATTGCTGCCACATACTTCCACTGGATGACTTTGTGCAAAAAAAGTCATGCCCCCCAAGCATCGCTTTTCGTTTTCCAAAAGTGCAGGACACATATTTGTATATATAATTATCCATAAAATTCTCAAATTATTTGCGCCAATTCCACTGTTCTGGTTCAGATTTTCTGTCACTCATACTTATTGCAAAGAGAGTTTCATGCATTCTTTATGCCATTCTCAAAGTGGAAGGTGGAAGATCCGCCTCCTCTTTTCATCGTTTTACAGCTGTCACTCAACAAAATAATGCATAACCACAATTGTAATACATTGTATGGTAAAGACACCAATTGATATATCAGAGCAGAGAATATAGATCATATCAGAGAATGATAACAATGACAAGTCTCATATATATGCTCTAATGAAAACCGTGTATCATAAAATGGTAAGAATTCAGCTCGATTCATATACTGTCATCTATACTGAACCGTACTATACTAACGTAGCCAAACAGTAATTAGTCGGTGACAATCATGATATCGCACTGTTTTTACCTGTCGGTATTACCGACAATTTTACGTTCCAGATGAGAACGCTATTCCGGGGAATCCGGGGCACGGCTATCATTTCAGGATCCCCTGAAAGAGTTTAGAACAGTAAGCTAGGAAAGATTGATTGAAGAGTTTTCAAATGGCTACGCTCGAGGATAAATCTATTTGGGAAGATGGCGAGGTAATTCTTTTTTTTTCTTTTTAAAAGATTAGTTCCAAGAGAGAATTAATTATTTAGTATCTATAAATACTGTGTTTTATAGGTTAAAGGCACTGAATGACAAGCATATATACACATACGATATTTGCGTGCTATATTTGCTAATAATTAACGCAAATTGATGAACATTTTCATTTTCTATTTTCTGCTTTTTTATTCTATGTATGCTTTTTCAGTATAACTGAGTCTAAGGATTTATTGCAATGGCAATGAATTATTAAATTTTTCCATCCTACAAGCTTTAGTCATGTTACAAAAAGGAATACATTACGTTTTCATTTGTTTTCTTCCATCAAAATTGTATTAATGTGTTATATTTCTAAAACTACAAAGAACAAAAATAAAACATTATTTTAATTTAATTTGATTAATCTAAATAAAATATTGCATTGATTTAAGTTCACTATGGATCATGGAAGTACACCAACTAGATAAAATAGAATTTTTGGAAGTTAGGATTGAATATGTTAATAATGAATATTTGTGCTGTAAATATTGCATATTTAGAAACATATTTGCTTCCCTTGTGTACAGTGATTATATAAAATATTGCTGCCGAAATAACTTTGTTTTCATTTTTAATTTTCTAAAATATATAATGTATATATAAAGTATATAAAAGCATATTTCTGTCACACATAATATTTAACAACTTTTATAAAAAAGAACTTTGTAAAAAAGATCATGGATCTTTGTTTCATAGGAGACACTGGGAGAAGATGTCCTGCGAATGTCCACGGACGAAATTGTATCACGTACGCGACTTCTGGATAACGAAATCAAGATAATGAAGAGCGAAGTGATGCGAATTTCGCATGAACTCCAGGCACAGAATGATAAGATCAAGGAAAATACAGAAAAGATCAAGGTAAACAAGACCCTACCATACCTAGTGTCCAACGTCATCGAGTTGTTAGATGTCGACCCACAGGACATGGGGGAGGAAGATGGGGCGGTGGTCGATTTAGATGCGCAGAGAAAGGGCAAGTGCGCAGTTATAAAGACGTCGACCCGTCAGACATACTTTCTACCTGTGATCGGTCTAGTTGATGCCGAATCGCTGAAGCCAGGTGATTTGGTGGGTGTGAACAAGGATAGTTACCTTGTGCTGGAGACTCTGCCGGCCGAATACGATGCCAGAGTTAAAGCCATGGAAGTGGATGAAAGACCTACAGAACAGTATTCTGATATCGGTGGACTGGACAAACAAATTCAGGAGTTAATCGAAGCCGTTGTATTGCCCATGACGCATAAGGAAAAATTCGAAAACCTAGGAATACAGCCGCCTAAGGGCGTTCTACTCTATGGTCCACCTGGAACTGGGAAGACTTTGCTAGCTAGAGCCTGTGCTGCCCAAACAAAATCTACCTTTTTAAAACTCGCCGGTCCGCAATTAGTACAAATGTTTATTGGTGATGGCGCAAAATTAGTCAGAGACGCGTTCTCGTTGGCCAAGGAGAAAGCACCGGCAATAATATTCATCGATGAGCTAGATGCTATCGGCACAAAGCGTTTCGATTCAGAGAAAGCGGGTGACAGGGAAGTACAACGCACTATGTTAGAGCTATTGAATCAATTGGATGGTTTTAGCTCGACTGCTGACATCAAAGTAATCGCCGCCACGAATAGAGTAGATATTTTAGATCCAGCCTTATTAAGATCTGGACGTTTGGATAGAAAAATCGAGTTCCCACATCCCAACGAGGAAGCCAGAGCGCGCATCATGCAAATTCATTCACGCAAAATGAATATGTCGCCCGATGTGAATTTCGAGGAATTATCCAGATCAACGGATGATTTTAATGGAGCACAATGCAAAGCTGTTTGCGTAGAAGCAGTAAGTCTCTTTATGTTTAAATCTAATCATAGTAATAGTATAAATAGGGCAATACAATGAGTTACTCACAATGTGACAAAAAAAATTTATTCTTTAAAATCAAAAATTAAATAAAATAAAACTTTTTTTTCCATTTATATCTACAAATATAACATCAGTTTTATTCAGTGAATAATTATTATTTTTAATTATTTCGTAATAACTGTTAATAATATGCAATCTGATTAGTCCAATTAATTTATGACTTATATTAACTCGAGCTTTTCTATATACATAACTCTTCAAAATGATTAAGATGTGATGTGTTTACAGGGTATGATAGCATTACGACGCAATGCAACAGAAGTGACTCATGAAGATTTGATGGAAGCTATCAATGAAGTCCAAGCGAAAAAGAAAGCAAATCTGAATTATTATGCTTAATTATTATGCTCTGTCACAGATCATTTATTTATTAAGCTAACTTTTGTACAATAAATATAGTAGTAAGAGAGAAGAGAATTAAATCTTGTCTCAAGTCTTCAACTTCTAGGTTTTTTAGCAAATATATGTATTATTGTTCACACACACAATTATTCTAAAATTTTCTTGTACAAGAAAGTACATATACTATTTAAATATTATTTTGCAATGTGGATTGAGAAATCAAATTTATCAATTGGAATTTTTATTGAATATTACATAATACACCATTATAAAAATAAAATTTTAATGATTAATTTAGCATTTAAATGTCTCTATATATGCTTTATAGAAATTCGTAATATTTAACAATATATGAAACTAAACAAAAATTTTTTTAGAAGAAATGAAAAAAAATGGAAGTAAAATATTTGTACGAAATATTAATTTGTCTTATTTTGAAACATTTTCTTATATATGATTGATTTTATATATATATATATTTTTTTTTTATTTATTGATTAATGTTTGTTTGAAGTTTTTTAAAGCTTAATGGATACATATTTTACATAAGATATGCTCATCGCCTCCTGTGACTTCTCTTTCTGATTCTGTAAAAATAAATATATCAAATATTAATATATATACCATCTCAAAGTATCATATTAGTTTAAAAATCTCAATATAGCTACATAGTATTACTTACTTTTTGGGCCCTTTCACGAAACACCAATCAACAGAAATAGCCTGACCTAAGATCTCTGTACCATTCAGAGCCTCTTTTGCAGCTTGTGCTTCCTTAAATGTTTCGTATTCCACCAGTGCATAACCCTTCAAAAATCCTGTTCTTCTATCCAAATTTAAATGCAAGTTTTTAATTTGACCAAATTCAGAGAATTTATCCTGAATATCATCCTCTTGTGCTTCTTCATGCACTGAATTTATGAATAAAATCCATCCTTCCACAGCTAAAAATATGAAAAGAATAAGAGTATATTGTAACAGTTTCATGATTTAAATCAAGGTAAACAAGACCCTACCATACCTAGTGTCCAACGTCATCGAGTTGTTAGATGTCGACCCACAGGACATGGGGGAGGAAGATGGGGCGGTGGTCGATTTAGATGCGCAGAGAAAGGGCAAGTGCGCAGTTATAAAGACGTCGACCCGTCAGACATACTTTCTACCTGTGATCGGTCTAGTTGATGCCGAATCGCTGAAGCCAGGTGATTTGGTGGGTGTGAACAAGGATAGTTACCTTGTGCTGGAGACTCTGCCGGCCGAATACGATGCCAGAGTTAAAGCCATGGAAGTGGATGAAAGACCTACAGAACAGTATTCTGATATCGGTGGACTGGACAAACAAATTCAGGAGTTAATCGAAGCCGTTGTATTGCCCATGACGCATAAGGAAAAATTCGAAAACCTAGGAATACAGCCGCCTAAGGGCGTTCTACTCTATGGTCCACCTGGAACTGGGAAGACTTTGCTAGCTAGAGCCTGTGCTGCCCAAACAAAATCTACCTTTTTAAAACTCGCCGGTCCGCAATTAGTACAAATGTTTATTGGTGATGGCGCAAAATTAGTCAGAGACGCGTTCTCGTTGGCCAAGGAGAAAGCACCGGCAATAATATTCATCGATGAGCTAGATGCTATCGGCACAAAGCGTTTCGATTCAGAGAAAGCGGGTGACAGGGAAGTACAACGCACTATGTTAGAGCTATTGAATCAATTGGATGGTTTTAGCTCGACTGCTGACATCAAAGTAATCGCCGCCACGAATAGAGTAGATATTTTAGATCCAGCCTTATTAAGATCTGGACGTTTGGATAGAAAAATCGAGTTCCCACATCCCAACGAGGAAGCCAGAGCGCGCATCATGCAAATTCATTCACGCAAAATGAATATGTCGCCCGATGTGAATTTCGAGGAATTATCCAGATCAACGGATGATTTTAATGGAGCACAATGCAAAGCTGTTTGCGTAGAAGCAGTAAGTCTCTTTATGTTTAAATCTAATCATAGTAATAGTATAAATAGGGCAATACAATGAGTTACTCACAATGTGACAAAAAAAATTTATTCTTTAAAATCAAAAATTAAATAAAATAAAACTTTTTTTTCCATTTATATCTACAAATATAACATCAGTTTTATTCAGTGAATAATTATTATTTTTAATTATTTCGTAATAACTGTTAATAATATGCAATCTGATTAGTCCAATTAATTTATGACTTATATTAACTCGAGCTTTTCTATATACATAACTCTTCAAAATGATTAAGATGTGATGTGTTTACAGGGTATGATAGCATTACGACGCAATGCAACAGAAGTGACTCATGAAGATTTGATGGAAGCTATCAATGAAGTCCAAGCGAAAAAGAAAGCAAATCTGAATTATTATGCTTAATTATTATGCTCTGTCACAGATCATTTATTTATTAAGCTAACTTTTGTACAATAAATATAGTAGTAAGAGAGAAGAGAATTAAATCTTGTCTCAAGTCTTCAACTTCTAGGTTTTTTAGCAAATATATGTATTATTGTTCACACACACAATTATTCTAAAATTTTCTTGTACAAGAAAGTACATATACTATTTAAATATTATTTTGCAATGTGGATTGAGAAATCAAATTTATCAATTGGAATTTTTATTGAATATTACATAATACACCATTATAAAAATAAAATTTTAATGATTAATTTAGCATTTAAATGTCTCTATATATGCTTTATAGAAATTCGTAATATTTAACAATATATGAAACTAAACAAAAATTTTTTTAGAAGAAATGAAAAAAAATGGAAGTAAAATATTTGTACGAAATATTAATTTGTCTTATTTTGAAACATTTTCTTATATATGATTGATTTTATATATATATATATTTTTTTTTTATTTATTGATTAATGTTTGTATGAAGTTTTTTAAAGCTTAATGGATACATATTTTACATAAGATATGCTCATCGCCTCCTGTGACTTCTCTTTCTGATTCTGTAAAAATAAATATATCAAATATTAATATATATACCATCTCAAAGTATCATATTAGTTTAAAAATCTCAATATAGCTACATAGTATTACTTACTTTTTGGGCCCTTTCACGAAACACCAATCAACAGAAATAGCCTGACCTAAGATCTCTGTACCATTCAGAGCCTCTTTTGCAGCTTGTGCTTCCTTAAATGTTTCGTATTCCACCAGTGCATAACCCTTCAAAAATCCTGTTCTTCTATCCAAATTTAAATGCAAGTTTTTAATTTGACCAAATTCAGAGAATTTATCCTGAATATCATCCTCTTGTGCTTCTTCATGCACTGAATTTATGAATAAAATCCATCCTTCCACAGCTAAAAATATGAAAAGAATAAGAGTATATTGTAACAGTTTCATGATTTAAAACGTTACAAAGAAAATATTCTTACATCTTTGAGGTCCAGGCTCGTTATCATCTTCCTCGACAATATTCATGGACTCATAATGGCCAACGTCATCTCTTGTTGATACTAATTCTGCACCATGGCCTCTACCTTTTCTTCTCTTTGCCTTCTCCTTAAGACGAGCAATACCCTCTGAAAGCATATCAAAGTAATTAAAAGTCTATTATATTATAATTTGAATATTGTTATAACATCTCTTCCTATAAATATTTGCTATCTGATGTATTCAGATAAGATTGAGAGAATACTTGCTATCAATATAATTTTAAACAATTATATGTTAATTTAACATTCAGTGAGAGAGAAATATTATGGTATTCAACTTATAAAAATATTCTATTAAAAATTGATAAATATATAATAGTAAAATACAAAAAAATCGAAGAGTTAGAAGATGAGGTTATGAAATTGAGATACTGAAATTGATGCTTGCAAAACACCCACAAAGAGAAACGAGACTTACGATCTCCTTCATCATCGACTTCGAATTCCTCAGCGTTATCAATGTCCAAGACGTCCGCCATGGCTATTTAAATAATATGCAAGTGTTTCTATATTATATCTTGTTTTATTATTTGATTATAAATAAAAATTGTAGAGAATACGATGACAAATTCTCACCGAAGGATAGTCGGATAGCGGCGAAGCGACGATTCTACAAGAACGCCACTAGAAAGCATAGATAATATAAATAATCTAGAAAGCGGCCATCTTAGTTTAACGTTTTCCATGGGATATAAGCTTCATTTAGTGCCGCCATCTACATTGTGTATTTGTGAGTGCGTGCGTGCGTGTGCGCGTGTGCGTGTGCGTGGCGTGTGCGTGTGCGTGTGCGTGTGCGTGTGCGTGTGTGTGTATGTGTGTGTGTGTAATACATTTATTTTTCAGTGGAACTAGAAGAATTTTCCAAGCTGTTGATAAGATTTTGACAAAGCCTGTGGCAACATGTTTATTGCAAACCAACATATTGTAATCAATTCTTGTTTCGATGCTAAAATAGATGCGCAAAATACATATTTATAAATATTATATAAAAGATGTAATTTCTTTTCGTATCTATACATAAAGAGAAATTTTTAATTATTTCTGTATTAAATAAATCACATTAGTATTTTTTAAAATAATTTTTTAAAATAAATCACATTAGTATTTTTTTAAATACAAAAAGAAGCAATTTTTCTATATTAATATTAACATATTTATAATATTATGATGAAAGATTTAATATTATAATATGATATATAAACTATATTTTTATATTATATTAATAATATTATATTTTATATAATATATTATATATTTATTAATATTAATATATTCTCTTTATTAATGTAGAAAAAGAAATCTTATAATTTGAATTTGCATATATATATATATATACGTGCTACATTGATAGTATATTTAAAAATATGAAATTAACCCAATGAAAAATACAGAAATACATTTTTTTCGATCGGTATTTCTCACTGGGAATTCTTAAAGTCTCTTAAAGTATCGTCAAAAATATAAAATATCTTATAAAAGCAATTTTTCTACATCTTCTTTATAACTGTATATTATAGCCTACAAATATACAGAATAATAAAATTTTATTTAATACACTTAAATTACTCGAATATTATTTGGGTATTGTTCCATCAGTTTTAATTCTTGAGTGCTTTTATACCATTGAGAATAAATTTCACGTATTCTGTAAATAGATCAAAAAGAGTAAAACAAGTAATTTATTTCATTATATTTATTATATTGGGTTGAACGGAAAGTTTATTCCGTTTTTTACTAAGAGATGAAGACCGAGAAAACGGCACGAACTTTCCGTTCAATCCAATATGTATAATGCTGTTATATATTCTTATTAAAATATACATTTTAGTATTTTTACAATTATATAATTAGAATACTTGTTCTTTGATTAATAAAATTGTTTTATTGTGATAGTATACAAAGTGTCTCAGAGCATTTTAATCATCTTTAATCTAAGGATTCTTTTATCAATTTGAATTTGATGGATTTGCCTTATTGTCAGTAAAAATACCAAAATAAGTCATTGTATATCTTTATAATTAATTCTCAATAATAAGTAATAATAATAATAAATTACATTAAAAGTAAGTTTAAAATTAATTAAGAGAAATATGATTATTCTTTGTGAAATTTATTTTGTTGAGAATTCCGTACTCGCAATTATTTACAATTCGGATATTTATTTATGATCATCTATAATTGACTTTAATTATTTTACTAAGAAAAAATCAACTCTAAAATTTGTCAGATGATTTGTCGTTAAAATTAGATTTAAACGAGTTATTATCTTTACAAAACTGTATGTAAAAATGGAAATAGTTAATTAATTGAACATACCTGTTATTAAAGTAAATTACATGAGGCATTGTCATATAAATGAAGAAAATAAAAGCCCATAAATAGAGGTTGACCATAATGATAAAGATTTTGTGATACCAGATATTATTAAATGATATGATCACATAAAGGGCATAAATAAGTACGATAATTAAAGCCGAGTAGAAGAATATCAAAATTAGTATATCAAAAAGAGGAGCACGAATTTCTCGAAGCATCTGAAGCAATGTACTGTCTCTGTAACACTGTTATAATATTAGTATTACATATACGCACGTTTAATGAAAAAATTAATCATTCTTCTAACAAAATTATTATAACTAAAATCAATTTTAAAACATTGTTTAAATTATATTTTTATTTTATCTAAATCAACATATTTTATATCATCATTGTATTATAAACATAAAGAATTTTTTATTACTTTATTTAGAGTACAAATTTAATTAATTATAAAGTACATGAGATTATATATATATATAGATGCGCAAAATACATATTTATAAATATTATATAAAAGATGTAATTTCTTTTCGTATCTATACATAAAGAGAAATTTTTAATTATTTCTGTATTAAATAAATCACATTAGTATTTTTTAAAATAATTTTTTAAAATAAATCACATTAGTATTTTTTTAAATACAAAAAGAAGCAATTTTTCTATATTAATATTAACATATTTATAATATTATGATGAAAGATTTAATATTATAATATGATATATAAACTATATTTTTATATTATATTAATCATTCTTCTAACAAAATTATTATAACCAAAATCAATTTTAAAACATTGTTTAAATTATATTTTTATTTCTTCTTTAATATACTCTTATTTATATTTTTACATTCTAATTTGTTTATTAAATTTGTGATAAATTATAAACTAATCGTACAATATGATAATATATAAGTTCTTACCAAAGCTTTATTACTTTGACATATATATGTCTAGTTACGAACTTTGACTTTAACAACTATTAGTTTGTTTTTTAACATTTGCTTATTTTTTGTGTGAACACAACACGTTTTTAAGTTACAAAATAATCTATTTTGAAATGGAAAACTTTTTAATTTTTTTCTAAACTTTTATTCTGCTATTTTCTGCAAACTTTATACGATTATTATCTTTCATGTCTCACCTCTAATAATGATTTATGCTTTATTTCTAATGGATATCGAGTACGACAAAATTGACAGTGAAGTATGTTCCGAGTATTTGCCGATATCTCTAGACAATGAACGTGTATGAATTGATTCGTACATTTACACGGGGATATTATGACTTTTCCTTTATTCGCACCTATCATAAATAGATTTATATATGTAATTGTTTTTTAAGTAGTAATACTATATATGCAATCTTTTTAATGAATAGATTGTGTGTGTATACATAACACAGATTTCAAAATTTTATTCCACAAGTATCTTTATAAAAAGAATTTTTATTATCCAAGGTATTTTGTAAAAAAAAAACTGCATACCCTCATTACAACGCCAGCATGAAGTCGTAGTAACTGACCTAAAAATCTCCTGTTGCACACGGCTCCATGTATCGATCAGCTCAAATTCTCTCATTTTTAATTATATTATTAATTTATTGAGTAATAAAGTTCGTTATATAGCTATAAACTTTTATTGCAATAATGCAGAGTCAATATATTAACCCAAAGTTTTATAAATTTTACTTTGTGCGTCGTCACTAATATATGTTGTATACTAATTTGATACTGCTATCTTTAATACTGTGTGTGCGTGTTTTGATTTATTTATACATTTACCTTTCTAGTAAGAACAGCTGCTTAAAATACATATACTTAAGACCTTGAAGCCTTAAGATTCTAGAAACTTCTTTTATTTTTATGTATATTGAACATTTTTGTTAAGTATTTATTTTAAAAATATATACAAAATTAAAAGAGTCGTCGTTGAAGAAGCACACAGACTTTCTTACATTTTAATCATTATAGACGAGAGCTTGCCCTTCAAAATATATACAAAATATATATAATAACAGCAATAGGCTCAGAGTACTAACAAATAAGTAAGAAAACTGGCAAATAAAAGCCAAGGCGCGGGTATTGATGCGCGAAATTATTATTGTTAAATTTTATTAATAAATATATATGCAGAAAGTTTTTTTTTTAAATCTCTATTAATAAATATCAAAATAAAATTAAAACTTTATATGTATATATAATCAATAAAAAATACGCGTACGTTTAATGTTATAAGTATAATTTATCGTTTAAGAAATTGAAAATAAATAGAATTTATTTGATTTTAAGAAATAATGTATTATAAGAAAATGATTTTTATAAAATTGAAATTAAATATTTCAGTTTCATAAAATTAATTTAAACTATCATTCAACTTATAAATATCGCAAAAACGAGAGTATCGATGTTACGTTACAGTAATTTTGTTATATCATTAATGTATGATAAATAGAAAATATATTTCCGTTATTTTATTTAATATTATATCCTAGTTTATTTTAAAATATCTAAAACAAACATAATATATTTTAT